AATTGGAGCATGAATGGAATACGAACTGGATAAAGAAGCATGATCCAACCGTCTGCTGCTTGCAGGAAACTCATCTCACTGTAAAGGGCATCCACAGGCTCAAAGTTTAAGGCTGATCTTTCAGGCAAATGGAAAATAGAAGTGAACATAGGTAGATATTCTGATATCAGAAAAAGCAGACTTCAAACCATCAAAGATTAAAAAGCACAAAGAAGGAAACTATATGAGACTCTCAATCCAGCCGGGCCCAGTGGCTCAGCCTGTAATCCCAGCTCTTTGGGAGGCCAAGGTGAGTGGATTGTCTGAGCCCACGGGTTCACAACCCACCCGGGCAACTTGGTGAGACCTCTTCTCTACAATAAATCAAAAATTAGCCAGGCGTGGTAGCTAATTCCGGCTACTCAGAAGGCTGAAGCGGAAGGATCGCCGGAGCCCAGCAGGTCGAGGCTGCGGTGGCTGGAAGCATGCCACTGCACTCCAGTCTGGGCAATGGAGTGAGACTCCATCTCAAAAAAAAAAAAAAAAAAAAGAGTCTCAATCCACCAGTAAGAAATATACATCTTAAACTTATATGCACTAACAGGTTTTATAAAACAACTACTAAATAAACTAAGAGAGGACACTGAATCTTACATAATCATAGTTGGAGACCTAAATACCCCACTAACAGTCCTAGACAGATCATCAAGGCAAAAAACTAACAAGGAGATTCAGAACCTTAACTCAGCACTCAATCAAATGAATTTAATAGACATCAGGACACTTCACTCAACATCTATAGAGTATATAGTCTACTCATCAGCACATGGAACATACTCTAAAATCGATCACATTCTTGGACATAAATTAAGCATGAACAAATTTCAAAGGATCGAAATAATACCGTGCATCTTCTCAGATCACAGTGGAACAAAAATAAATATTGCCATCAACAATATCCCCCCCAAAACACACAGACATGGATTCTAAACAACATGCTACTGAATGATTTGGGGTCATCATTTAAGACACATAAAAATATATTTGGAAGCAAATGAAAACAAAGACACATCAGAATCTCTGGGATGCCATGAAATCAGTGTTAAGAGAAAAATTCATGCCATTACACACACACATTAAGAAAATAGAAGGATCACAGGTAAACAGCCTAACATCACACCTAAGGGAGCTGAAAAGCCAAGATCATTTAAATCCTAATTTTAGTAGAAAAATCTAGATCACTAAGATAAAGTCACAATTGCAGGACATAGAAGACAAAAATATCATATAAAGGATCAACAAGAAAAAACATTGGTTCTTTGAAAGGATAAATAAGATTGACAGACCTCCCCTGGCCAGATTGGCTAAAAAAAAAAAAAAAAAGAGCGAGTGTCCAAATAAATAGATTAGAAACGCAAAAATGTAGTCACAGCTGACCCTGAAGTAATTCAAAAGATTATCAGAGGTTACTATGAACAAATAAACTAGAAAACCTAAATGAAATGGGGGACTTGTTGATATCACACAACCTCCGAAGTTTAAAACAAAAAGAAATTGAAACTCTAAACAGACCAATAACAACCCAGGACATGAACTCAGTCACAAGAAATCCGCCCCTCCCCCCAAAAAAGCCTCAGACCCAATGACTTCCCAGCTGAATTCTACAAGACATACAAAGAGGAGCTGATACCAATCTTATCAATAGTTTTCCAGACAATCTGAGAATGCTGGAACTCTCCCTGACTCATCACAATAATATCACAAATAAATATTTGATTTTGTTGACATTATTAAAGTTCAATCAATTTGAGGGATAGTAAGACTATCTAATATTGATGAATTTCTAATATTGAGGTATATATATTACATTTAAATATAATCAATTAATTGCAAAAACAAAGATACTACTGCAAATATTTACAACTTTTCAAAACAGTGAAACCATGCTTCAAATGTGGTTCGTGGCTTGTTGGAGCTAAAGAGACTGCAGACAGAATGTGTTTCTGCACTCTTTTTCAGTAGATGAGAAAATTAAGACAAAAAAAATCTGTTGCTTTATAATTCATGTGTAGTACACTCATGATTTCACAGTTAAATATTTGTACTGTGTATTTCAATCACCTTTCTTTCTTATATGTTCATGCAATGTAACAACATACAGTGCTTGGGTGCCTAATAATATTCCTTTGTTCTTTTTCTCTTTTGAGTCAGAGTCTTACTGTCACTCAGGCTGGAATGCAGAGGCTGATTACGTCTCACTGCAGCTTCGAACTCCTGTGCTCAAGCAATCCTTCCACCTCAGCCTCCAGAGTAACTGGGACTAGAGGCACACACCACTGCACCCAGCTGTTTTTTGTTTGTTTGTTTGATTGTTGTTGTTGTTGTTTTGTAGAAACAAGGTCTTGCTGTATTAGCCAGGCTGGTCTTGAACTCCTGGACTTAAGCAATTCTCCTGCCTCAGTTTCCCAGAGTGCTGAGATTATAGGCATAAGCCACCACACCCAGCCTCTTTTTTCTTTTAATAAAGATTATTTATTTGAATTTAGAAGAATAGTAACAATGTTAAGCCTAAAACCTAGATCTAGTCCCACTCTGGCTGTTCTATTTTATCAAAACTATATAAAATTGATATAAATGTACTACTGTTCCCCATGATTATATATATACTGTATATTCATTATAAGTGCAGCTTTTACCATGAAGTCTATCTATCGAAAACTTTGCATTTGATTTTTTAAAAATATGAATGAAAACTTACAATAATGAGAAGGTCTTGGGAAGAGGAAGAAATTATATGAATAGCCTTGGACCCTTTTAAAGGAGGAAAATCTGTAGAGAATTTTGAAAATTTCTCCTTTTCCTGTGGACAAATTTCTCTTTGCCAGGCTGAGACATTTGAAGTGATTCCACTGGTCAGGTGTGGTGGCTGATAACTGTAAGCCCAGCACTTTTACAGACCACAGTGGGAGGATTACTTCTGCCCAGGAGTTTGAGGCCAGCCTAAGCAACATTGCAAGACCTCGTCTCTGAAAAATAAATATTAGCCATGTGTGGTGGTGTGCTCCTATAATCCCTCAGGAGGCTGAGGTGGAAGGATTGCCTGAGCCCAGGAATTAGAGGCTAAGTGAACCATGAGTATGCCACTGCACTCCCGTCTGGTCGACAGAGGAAGACCCTGACTCAAAAAAAAATTCTTTTTTGTAAAAATGCGTCCATTGATCTATTTTTTTTTTTTTTTTTAAGCAGCCATTTTATGAGAACTTCACATATGAAGATTTAGAGAGAAATTCTCTTAGATTCAATCTATGGGGTAATATTTTTCTTTGCTCCCTTCCCCCTTTTTCCCCCTCTACCCAAATTTATTACCTTTTTTCTCTTCGTCACTCCTTACCCTCTCCCTCACCCCAGACAGGTTTTTTTTAAAAATGTATTTATTTTTTATAAAAATGTATGTATTTATGTATTATGTACAATTCAGGGCTAGGTATATAGACATTGATCATGCAGGTACCCTTGTTGATGAGGTATACCCCTCCCTCCCCTAGCAGTT